GCAAGGTTACATATCAAATTTAAATGTTCATTATATTATTTATTCATGTGAATAAGTTTAACATATACATGTATAAAATAGATACATATAAAAATGTACATATTTTTTCTGTTTGAAAAAGTATATGTGAAGTTACATTTTCTGACATTACAATAGTTGTCTAGAATGCATATGATAACTAATACTTATAAAAATTATTAGTTTCAAGCTACATAACAAATATATAATTTATTCATGTACTTATTACTTATAATGCACACAGTGCTCTTTTTGTGTAGTTTTGTACATGATAAATATATATACACATCCTTTTTTTAATTGTTTACTGGTAATTTTTATATGTATAGTTTATATTATAAACTGAATTAGCTTTTAAGCTTATAGCATTGTCCAAAGATGTTTTTCATGGAAGCTAAAATGTTTTAACTATGATTTTTATATTGATAACACAAAACTATTTTAACGATACAAGTATATTTTTGTTTTATAGAATATACTTTATACAATACATACACTTTTTTCTACCTAGCAACAATTTATATTCAATGTTAGGTCTCGCTAATGAATGTTCATATATTTGCCAATAAAAGTTCGTTAATCGGACAGTTTTGTAGAAAACTAAAGAAAAATTTATAATTACATACTAGCGAATTTAAAATAAATTCTACGGTTTTTGTTACAATGTGAATCTAATGGATTTATAAAAGGTACTAAAATTAGTGCCTTCACATTTAATGCTTACGTTAATAGTTATGAAAATTATAATATGAGATACAATTTATGAACTAACTATCTGTATTCGAATTCAAACGTACTTTTAGAAACAAATTTCATACACAATTTCTGTATAAATGTACAAAAAGGTAAGAAAATAAAACTAAAATTCAAAAAATTGGGCTGACATTTTTTAGTATGACTAAAAAGTGAAAAATGAATTGTTGCCTTGCAATACTTTACATTTTTTTTTCTTTTTTTTTTTTACATAAAATTAACGTGGTACTCAGTTCTAGTTTGATTCACTCAATCATATTTAATTGAATATATATACTAAAGATAGTAACACTTAAAATCGGAACCTTATCTAGTACCTAATTACTCTTAAATTGGTCAACGTATATGAAAAATTTGAGATTAATTTTTCCCTGTTTTACATTCAAATTCAGCGACCTGAGTGAAAGACGTTTTCTTGTAACATATTTTATATATACTCTTAAGAATAAATTTGTTTTTATATTTAAAACAATTTACAGAACAAAACAGAAATTTCAAATTATCCAGTATAAATCGTCATTTAACATTACTGTAATATATAAATCGTTAAGTGACATTTGAACAAAATAATTTAAATTGTATATCGCGTTTTTACAACTAATGTTAAAGAAAGTATTGCTGACATAGTCGTACATTTAATAAAAGAGGTATTTTACAAAGAAGTCACCAAAAATTAATAACAATTATTGGCATAAATCACATAGTTATTCAAATTGTAAGATTCATCCTACAAATAGTTTTCATCGCAGTTTCATTGAATTTTATGGATACCACTTATGGTCATAGAATAACTATCATATTTCAAGATTTCTTTGTACTATCGCTAAGAATTAAATTAGAATGGCTTGGGGGTTTTCGACGACTTTAAAAATATTCGATAATTCGTCTACTAATGTTTCGTATCTATAGGCCACCCGAATATCCGGTACGTTTGTTCGCGTAATATCATTACCGGCTACTCCCTCTTTAGTATAATTTGGCCCAAGCCAGTATTGTTTACTCTGCAAGATAAAAAAAAAATTTTTACACGGTATTGGTTTGTACATACCTCATGTATATCTGTAGAAATATAATGTATACCTTATGTGGGAAACCACTCATAAGTACTGAATTGCGCGCTAATTCACACATATCGCATGAACTAAGTTTCCATACTTGCGCAGCAATACTGTATTCTTCCATTAAAGGTTCCTACAAAATTTATATAAAACAAATATGAAAATCCTACAACAAATATATATTTCGAAAGAATAAATAAAATATTCACATTATACTGACCTTCGTAAAATGAAATTGGAGAGGGTCGTCTGTGGAAAGGCTTACGCACAATCCTCTTGCTAAATATTCTGGTAGAGGATTACGATGATAATTTAAAAAGAGTGAGTTATTACTAAGAGGTGACATTGCGATCCCAATTTGTGCCAAGTAATATAAATACTGCAGTACTGGAACTTTTCGAAGCAAAAGACCGTGGGAAATGTTTTCTGCCATCATATAACCGCACACAAGATGTTGAATGGGACCAGCCTCACCACAATGAGGTCTAAGAACAAAAGTATTTAAACCTTGTTCCCTGTAAACCATAAATTGTATACGTAGATACTTATAATTTGTCTAAACAAAATATTATACAAGAGATACACAAATTGCTAAGAATAAACTTACGCTCTGAAATGATTCAAAACGGTCATATTAGCGTAAGTGTAGTATTGATAATATCCATAGGGAGGATTTTCAATATCATCCCATTCTTGGGGTGGACAAACATCTTTGTCAAATGTAGGATTTTCAGGTTTACTTTCATCATCAACCGAATCAAATCCTATTACCTATGACAAGAATCAAAATAAATATTATTAATTCTGAATATTCCTAAAATTTATTTACTAAACCTACTTACATATTGAAGGAATTTATGTAGTTCTGGATGAGTGTTGGGGTCATTTGTCACTTCAAAGAGAGGAAGGAAGATGTTATTCAGAATCTCTTGGAAGTTTGTCATCAATTTGTTCAGCTTAAAAATATCACTGTATAGAAACAGTACACAATTATTTTGTGATAAGTATTAATTACAACAAACTATATTTAGTGTATATCATAAGAACTTACTAAAGCCGCGGAATTTGAATGAGCCAGCGCACATTATCCGAATATACGTCGCTTTGAATAGCCCATTTGGCCAATTTGTCCCATTCCTCTGGATTTTTACCGTAAATCGAAAGACGCAATTCCGCGTTTTGATATTTCGATTCTTCAAGATCGCTGGCAACTTCTTTAATTATACGTGCGAAAAATTTACCGTTCAGATAGTTATCCGTCTTTAGAAACACTTCACGAAGGCGACTTTCACCGATCGGATTGTACTTGGCATTGAATTTATCGAACCTATGAAACGTATTTCTATCCTAAAAGAGGACGTTAGAAATTTTTAAGCTTCATGCTCGACTAACTCAATTCTTTACACATGTAAGATCAACGCAAACTCACTGCATGCACGTCCAGCATATCAACGCTGAGATCGTACGTCGTTAGATTCATCGACTGAAATACTTCTCGAAGTGTCATTGTTTCTCCATTTTTCGAACATGTTACAATTTCGTCCGCATGATTTTTCAAAGTTTTCTTGATAAACCTAAGTAGGTGTTTCTGATTCATACAAGATGCCGCATGAATATGCGTATCGACCTGAAAACGATAAAAACAAAAACAGTTATTTCACTTTTCTCACAAGTATATCTCGTTCAAATAAAATGTTGAAAATGTTCATGATGTAAACTTGTAACGATAATTTCATCTACTGTCTACTACACGTCTCTCCTATACTGACCTTTCTGATGTTATAGAAGTCCCTATGGGGAACTGCTTTCTGACTGGCAAGTTCTCTAAGCTCGTTTAACAATACATGTAGTTGGAATTTCGACGAAAGGTAACTCAGTCTTCTGTAGCAAAAGGATTTTAGCGGGCCATCGGCGATCATAGCGCAGAACACGTTCATGTCCCTGACAAAAGTCGCTAAATCAGGATACGAGTAAGGAATTGGCATCCCATTATCAAAATCTTCTTCGTTAGCATAGAGATTGAAGACACCGTTAACAGGGGCAATTTTGTAATTCTTTGTCGGAGGAAATTCGCATTCCCACGGATCTCCTCGAGATGCAGGTGCGTGCACAGGATGATCTAATAATAACAATTGTTCACGGAGAACAGATACATTAACAGAAAATTCTTCTCTCAAGTTAATTACTTCTAATTATACTTGATTCGTTTTTTTTTCTTTCTACCAGAGACTTAATCGTTATACATAAAAACACATGTCAAAGAAACTGATACATGTGGATTGAATAAATGAATGAATGCAGAAGGTGTAACGTGATTCGAAGGGAAACTGTTCGATGAAGGATAAACAGGGGATGAGGAACCTTTCCAATGAGCGTCTTTGATCAAAGCATCAATGTCTGCGTCAGAACGAACATCCACAATTTCACTTTCAACCTCTGACAGCAACTTTATACCTTAAGAAACAGCACATTAAACCTGACTTTACGTCATGAACATTTAACATACATGTTCTGGTGAACATTAAAATACTTAACTTACTGATGGATTAATTTCAAAAGAAAGGATTAAGTATTTAGAAAAAAAGAAATGATACTTCACGAGTTTGGTTTATGTACCTGCGATAGCTTTACGATCATCGTGTTGAACTTCATCGTCACTGTTCACCGGCCTTTTGTCGGCACTACGCAGAAATCGTGACGTTATCGATGGAAAGCTTTGTTTAGAATTGTTCATGTATTTCTCACGTATGGCCAATGCTTGGATCAACATCTGGGATGCCTGTTGAAGATCTTCCAAGGGTACCTAGGGATGTATATATATATATATATATCAATCATTTCATTCATTCTTTGTCTCTTTAAATTATTACGCAATATGATCAATACAAGGTGGAGAAGACATTTTGTTAGGGTTTCGTTAATTCGACGCCACCAGTCAAGAGTCACGTTCAATTAACGCAATCTTGCAGGTTTATCAGTACACTTGTGAGAAAGGTTAATCTACTTTGTTATAATCTCTTTTACATAATAATAAAATACTGTTGAAACGTGAAGTTTGTTATACTTTGTTATAAGAAGCTTTCTGCATTGAGTATAGATAAAATTCTTATTTAAAATTCTTATAAATACAATTCTTACTTAAAATTATTACAAATATATTCGTCACGTTTCTTCATAAAAAGTTAACGAGTGTGTTAATTATCGATTACAGTTGTATCTTTTATTTAGAGTACAGAAATATTTGTCAACACATTTTCTTTGAACGTTTTCTTTAGCAAGGTCTAAGAATCTAGGTGTGCCGTTTAAATTTACAATCCTAAGTTATTCGTGAGAAGTTAATTCTCTGAAAAAATTCTCGAAGAAGCGTCGAATAATACTAAGAAAGCATATAATATACAGTAGGGTCGCGTCAATTAAGCGTTGTTCAGAATCGGTATCGTTTAATTGACCCGTACAAGTTTTGTTCCAAGAATTGCTCGAACTTGAACCAACGCTATTGTTGAAACAGGATACGAGTGAAAGCATATTTGCTTTAGAACCATGAATCCGTTATTTTGTCGCATAAAAAGTGAACTTTTTTAACGATTCTTTTATTCCAATCAGAGTCACTTTAACGTATTCTTGAGCAATTTTTAATAAAATCGAGTCCAAGATTCGACCATATTTTTACATGTCAAGTAAAAAGATCTTCAAGATACACAGAAGAGGAAAAAACAGAATTATATAAAATATTTCTTTTTCTACTACGTTCAAAAGATTAATTAGAAAATGTGATGTTGGGGTAAAATAAAAAGAAACATTTCTGCGTGTAGGTAAAAATATCTGCTGTTTAATTAACGTGACCTTTCGGCGTTTAATAAACGCAACCCTACTATAATGATTTCCTATTGAGTATACACATTATTACGATTTCAGCGTTATAAATAAATTTTTAACATTTATCAGTTCAACGCTCTAATTGTAGAATGAAGTATTTGATAACCTGATTTAAATATACCTGTAATGAAATTCCGATAAATTTATTAACGTAACACTCTACACGTGTACCATCTGCATATATACTTTTCTATTGTATAATAAATTATGTAAATAAATATTATATAAGTACATAAAGTATATATGTTTGTACAATGTACGAAATGTGGATCTATAATACATCTCACATATATGAGTCATTCAGAAAGCCAAAATGGTTCACTCCCCTTTTTCATATTCTTCTAATTTTAGTATCAAAAAGAAGCACATGCTTACTGTTTAATTCTTCATAAATAAAATAAATTCGATAAATTTAATTTGACAGAGTTGGTCACTTTGGTTTCTGAGTGACTCTGCATTACACTCTTTGTTTCTATTTTATTATTCTTTCTTCTTTTTTAACAAATACTTTATTTTATCATTTTCTGCTCGAAAGCGAAGCGAACATTTAAATCGTCATAAACTGAGCAAGATAATTGTTTAAAGTTTGAAAAAAAAAGCTTCTTATAAAATGATGGAACAAGGGACTGGTAACGAAAGGGGAGGAGAGGTTGGTAGGTAACAAGGGTTTCCTACGTAAGGCAGCATTCTTAGGGTTTCTTCTCATAGAAATCTCAAAAAAGACACAATCTCCTACGTAACACAGATTTTATGTACGAACCCGATCAATTCGTATCCATTGCAACATATGCAGCAGCGATTATTAACTATTTTTTTTTTTATCTCACATCTCAAATGAACTAATTACTAGAATTCTACGGTACGCAAAAAAATGTATTACATTTTTTCGCCCATCCGACGAAAATAGTATACATTTTTCACTGATTTACAAAAAACAAAAATTTTATCCCGTTACTTTTTTAACTTGCACTAAAAAATCTTGAACACACCTGTGGATCTCTCGCGGCACTAAATTTGATAGAAAAATTGAGTAATCGTTTTTACATGAAAAGATTCCAATATTTGGAATCCAACGAAATGATTAGAATTTTGTGACGAGATACATATGTGACATGAATTTTAGTTAAATTTAATAATAAAGGCTGCCATTCAATTGTCAACGTACCCCGGAAGTATCTTCACCAGATATGGAGACTCTCTGGAAATGCGGGACAAAGTCATTTTCCTCGAGATTGAAAAGATGATCGACATCATCTGATACACCGGGACCAATCGATGGTTCATAATGGCTACGACGTTCCTCTAGATCCTTAGCAGCTCTGAAAGAACACTCAAAACATGATTTTTTACTCGTGAAGAATGAAAGAAAAATCTGAATAGCGACAAAAAGAGAGCAAAGCGCTGACAGTAAAGTCTGTACAAACATCACTAATTGTATACCTAACTAATATACATAAAAGGGTATAGAATAACAATTACTTAAAAACAATTTATACGAAAAATCAATTTATTTAACATATTTCGAGAATCGGGAGGTATATATATATCTACAAGTATTCACATACTTAAACCAAAAAAATATATAGTTCTATATATCCTGAAATGTTGCTGAAGGTTTTCTTTTTTCTTCAAAAAAAAAAAAAAAGAGAAAAAAAAGAAAAAAAGAAAAAGAAGAAAATTCTTGCAGAATTTTTCTTTTTTCAACACGCACTTCTCTCTGGCTACAGGCACAAGAATACCAGATATTTATATATTACAACAAATTTGCCAAGCGTTCAATTCCTTTGTAACAATTTAACAGATGCAAATATTATAGTATTACGGTGTATTTTATTAGAATTATTGCACGATTTTGATAAATGCCGGGCAAGATTATGTACGTATACTTGACCTTGGCTACACAAAGGTCGAAACCCCGCGGTGAAACGCATATTTATTTATAATACTACTCTTTTTTTGCCCAGCTTATCAGAGAATTTCTTTTTCTCTCGTGAAAAGCAGTTTCTTCGTAGGACCATAGATATTGTTGTTACTTCTTTTTCCGGGCGTTTCTAGCGATTACTTATTTTTTTTTCTCTCATTGTTGAAATGATGTTGAAATTAATGCGTATAAAACTTAATTTCGTGTTTCAACAAAACAGTCAGTTTTTACGGTCTATCAATAAACATACACGTGTTATTGCGTAAAATGGAATAAATGAAATTGTACGATAAGAGGTAGCTTCAATGTATGGCTTCATAATTTTATGACCGAAAGTTACTAATATTTTCTTCAGAATCCCATGTTGAATTTGAAATTCAGGAATAATATAATCGTATCATACTTGATTTCTTTTACTCGAGAATCATTTTTAGCTTATAATTATATTTACTAAATTTATCGACCTGTTTTTATCATTAACAACCATTCAGAGAAGCTGTTAACCTTATCAGCAGGCTTTTTCTTTTATATCCCAAAATTCTGCGTCGCATGTTTGTTACACTACAAACTATAATTCTTACAATTCACATCTGTTCTGCTGGTTTTTAGGCATGAGACACTTCTCGACACTTTTATTGTCCAAAACTCTTCGTACTTATCTATAAATTAATTACCAATAAAATGGCTAGCATGTATATATTTCCAGTAGTGTAAAGAAAACAATACGTAAACGTACGTAATAATAAAAAAAAAAATGATATATGTGTATATAAAAATGAACTATCTAACTATATATAGCTTTTCAACACGAAAATACTGTACAGAAGAAAATTAAACGTCGCAGGGCGATTGCCGCCATAACGTAGATCTTCGAATTTAAAATTTAACAAATACTTGCATACTTGTAACCAGACAAAAAATAAAAATTCAAGTCTAAAGCTGCGCTAAAATGATTACTGGCTAATCTACGCTATCCAAGTATTTTAGCTGTCGTTCGTAGAAAAACAAAAAAAAAAATCAAATTTTGTACTTTGCCTTTTTACAAAAATAAAAAAGAGAAGAAAAAAAAGTAAAAGAAAAAATCAACGGTTATAGTTATATAATAGGTGTAAGTAAATAAAAATTGCAAAAATAGCATATTGAACGACAAAAAACAATTCGACACTGGCTAATGTGATTAAATATTTCGAACCGAACGATAAACGTTTCTGTTTAAAAGGGGTGAGCAATCATGATTAGGGCATTTTAATTTACCTCAAGAGTATCCTATTATCCCTGAGCCATCGTTTCGATTCGTTCGCACCAGCGAACATGATACACACGATTCTTCTCGTTTTTTACGTCTTTAACGTCTCTTGCATGCACGCTGACAGCGGCCGAAAAACGGAACGTTTCATAAGGAAAACTCCCCTTTTCTTGGTATGCCTTTTTAAATCTTTCTTTATTCGTCGCAAAAATTGAAAAAGGAAATAATCACGAATGGTTCAATATTAAAATAGCAGAACGATGTTACAGTTTTCTGTTATTAACTTCTATTCGAAATTTTCCTTTTCTCTCCTTTTATATATTGTTTACTTCATTTTGATTGTTTCCTCGTTCAAAAAGTTTGATTCTGTCGATAATATCCTTTTGTTTCTCTCCGATAATTGCCCAATTTACAATTTGTATCACTCTGCAGCCGTGAAATAATTTAACGAGAAAGAATAATGAAACAATTTCGAAAACTATGTCGCATTTCTATATTATCAGGCAAAATTATCAACAAACAGTTCACTGACGTACTATTGTTTCAGCGTTATCGCAATAAATCAAGTAGAATGTTCAGTTTTCAGATTACAAAATTCTCGTTTAGTTTCACTGTGAAAAGGTGGCAAAAGTCAACGCACTTACATTTAAGAAATGTATAAATACTTGTTATTTAACACATAATACGCGTGAATCTATGATAGAGTAAATTTATGCGAAAATAACGTGTATACGGTTCAACTATCGAACACTTGAATCGTGATAGCGTTTCTACACGACAATAACCATTCGAAAAAGACTTGAACCTATTTTCACTAACAAATCGATGAGAGTTAAGTGGAACTGAGTACCAGTATATCATTGTATTCGTCCATATGTTGCTGCAATTCTAACAGTTACGTGAAAAATTGATTTACCATAAAGGTGAGAAACGAACGATCACGATTTCTATGCACGATCGACAATTCGATCGTGCCTTCGTATATACGGAATGGTGGAAATGGTATATTCGTAACGATTCATAAGCAGAGAAACGAACTCTCTGCAGCAGCATAAATTTTCTACGCGCAGCCTATTACAACTTGCCAGAAGCACACGTACAAAACCCTGACGATACTAAATACCACTTAAACTTTCTTTCCACGGTAACGAAATTCTCGCAGAAACTAATCTCTGTCGGCTAAACAGGGAACATCTCGCGTCGTCGAGTCGTGCGTGTGCAAAAAAAAAATGGGAGAGAGAGAGAGAATTCGTTCAACGATTTTATCGTTCCGTACGATCGGAAAGAAGCATGGAGAAAAAGTCGAAGTCATCGGCTTCGTTCTCTCCCTTCTGTTCGTGGTTCATCGATACATTTTCTCATTCGCGTAATCTCGGTGGTGGTCACGACGGGGCACAATCAACGCACAGAGTTCGCAAGAGTGAAATTTCTGTCGATCGATACGTCAACTCACATAGCCTGGCCTCGAAAATGCTCGCCGTGAGGTCATGAAAGGCTATCGTAAAGCCGACCGGGGAATCATGCAGTCGTTCCAACACGAGCGTGATATTTCTTGGTGGTGAACCGGAAAAGATCTACGTTGCACACAGCGCATTCCGTCGCACGCTTCCTACCATTTCGATGGTCGCACGACTACTGAACGGACGACCGTGAGGGCCAGTCGTGAGCAACCCCTTCCCCTCCCCACGGCATCTTCCACATTGTCCAACTACCTACCAACGAACACTTATACATTCCATTTCCGTCGACGTAACCTTCCGTTACGTTTTCTCGCCATTATCCGTGTGTCCAGCATAAACATTTACCACTTGTTTTAAATGTAGGTTACGAGAAAAGAGCTATGCGTCTATCGCGAAGAAAACGTAACAAGATATTACTGCAGAGTAACATGCGATTCCTTTTCTCCGAGAAATTTTCAAAGATCATTTGGAAAACGGTGGTAGAGAGTATTATATATCGATGTTGAAGCATTGAAAAAGGTATTTGAAACGTATTTCGAAATGAATTTTTTCTTTGTAATGAACGTACCGTTTACAACGTGGCTAGTACTCAGAGAAAGGGTGATCTTCAACGAAGGATTCAGTCGACGATATAAGGTAATATTTTTCTCATACGAAGCTTCGTCTCGTAAGTATAACATATTACGTAGAATTTAATTACAGCGGTGAAAGGAAGCAGAGCTATTTTCAGTAGTTTTTACATTTTTTAAAATACAATTATTAAAGGGGGAAAGCTTCAGTTTCATTAGACATCATTTAGTATCCTGTACGACGAACAAATATGAACAGTAATATAATTAGTTCGTAACGTCTGTTAGAACGAGGCATAGGTGAGGCCACGCGAAAGTGCACGCGTACTCGATAAATTTTCAACATCGATTTCTTCGATAACGAAGTTTCACATGGGAAAAATTATTACTCTGTATTTTTTATTTACTTTTTCACGTAGAATCACTTCTTTACAGGTAGTCAAACCAGTTCGACGACACATTAGGCATTTTTCAGAGTTAAAAGTTGCAATGTTCTTTTGCTAACTTTAATATATTGTAAAAAAACTTTCTCTTCAAAAATATCATTTTTTTTTTAAATGGTTAGTACAAACCAGAAATATTTCAATGTTTATAGTAGTATAAATATATAAAATATGATTTAAAATGCTTGCCTTAATCACTTTTTTAACCGTGCAAAACAGGTTAAGCAGTTGTTAATAGAACTTAAGAACTTATTGCTGGAATTTCAGAGTAGTGGATTTTAGCGGATTGTAAAGGTGACGTAACGTGTGCTGCATTTTAAGATTACATTCTTTAAACCAAAAATATAGAAACATATTATATATAGGAAGAAGAAGAATAATTAATTCTTGTAGTAGTGCAATTATCATTCATCTTCCAAATTGTGCCTTTGCTAAAAACACTTTACAATTTTTTTTTTTTAACAGAGAAAAAATTGGCTCAACTACTTGAGCCAAGTAGTAAATAAAAATTAAGCACGCAAATTAAAAGTATCTTGAAAAAATGCCAAATGGCATAAAAAAATAGATGCAACTTTTTGCAAGTATTTCTTTTACAAATTTTACCATTTTTTGAAATACACACACATCATGACCTATCATAGTGGGTTAAATAACTCCAACGCAGTCAGACAAATTCGGTGTTAAATTATTGATCGGTACTGTACTGCGTACGAAACAGAACCCTCGTTTAGGACAATTTTATCGATGATCATTTTGATGGTCATTGCTATATAATTTCTATACAAAGTTTCGTCTGATTAAAAAAGATTATTTTACTTAAGTCCATCATACAAGTATAAGAAGGTTGCGTAAGTGGAACGTGTTATAACATGATTTATTTCAAATAAAAATTTCGAAATTATACACAGTACGTTTGAAAATAATTTGACATTGTTTCGAATTTATTTTATTGCAAAAATTTTAACTTCGCACTCACGTGTACATATTAACCTCGGATATAAAGTGTGATTATTCATTGAAACAGACGATTTGACGATGGTCTTGCACTTGCATTGTTACAAAGATTTCTAATTAATGAAGATAAATTGAGGACAATGGAAAATTTATTTTCAGAAGCTTTACCCGCTCACCTCGAAAGACACGATACGGGACAAACAACTGTAAAGTGGCCAAGAGTGGAATTGAATTAGGTACATGACTCTTCGCTGATAATTCCAATTATAGATGGATCTTCAGCTACGATTCTAAGTTGTCTGATCTACGTTGTGTTTATGCTATTTTTCCTTACCAAGGAGAGTTAAATTTCAGCCGTTTGTACAAAAATAAATTCACTTGTATTGTTTTTAAAAAAGGAAATTTTTGCAGAACACAGAAACAGTAAAAATGACCAATGAAAGAAGTAAATGTGAAAAATTAAGGCGTCATATTTTCAGTATAATTGTGCACAAATAACAGACGTAATTTTATGATACACTATTATGGTAAAAAACACAATAAATAATTTGAATAAAATATTATGTTGAAGTTTCGCGATGCAATTTTATTTACGAGTAGTTATTTTTGAGAAAACTGACCTTGAAAAAACGTGGTATGCATACACACTTCGTATTGACTTCCCACATCTGCCCCTACCTTCGTTTATCCACGAAGCACGAAAAATCAAAGATCGTAGAAAATTGTCAGATTTTAGATTTGTAAATAATAAAAAATACCGTTTCATTTGCAAGTTTCGAGTTCTGCTAAAATTCCTGTATCGATGTAAATAATATAACGAACTTTTCTAACAAATATTTTGTTGAATTTTGTCACATTTACTTCAATTGTACCGGATATATCGAGAATAGTAGGTGATTTCTTGTGCAAAAGCAAGTCCAAATTTTAAAATGAAATTTTTTCAGATAACATTCCAATTTCGAGAAAACCGAATTGTACACATAATTAGTAATAAGATTTGATTATTACTTATAGAGTCAGATTAAAAAAGTAGTTCATAGCAAAACTAGTTTCGGTTCGTAATTATTTATTTCGCCGACCAATTTGTGCGCAAGAAGAGGAGACACATTTTCAGCGGTTTCTAATTTAACGGAACAAATGCGTCATTGAAATTTGCTGCGTTACTTTAACTCTGTTAAATTTAATCTTATTTTCAAATACGATTTTCTCGAGAATGAAACTGTAAAACAAAAAAAATTCATTATTAATATTTGACTTAATTTTACATGAAAAATCGCCTATTTCATTATACTGTTTAATAATTAGTTAAATTTCAGTTAATACAAATAGTATAATAATATGAAAACATTGCTAAATTATTCGTGTACATTAAATTATGTTTTATCATTTTCACAATTTTATGTTTCTTAATTATTTAATTCCACGACTTGAAAACTGATTGTCAATAAATCATTGTACGTCTGTTTAAGCACTGTTAAAACATTTGCCAATGGGTTTGATTCTTTGATTGGAATAAAATGATAAAATGACGTATTTGCGTAGAATCGTTCTAAGAACAGAAATGTGCTATCGCTCGGGGCTGAAAACTGTCTCAGTTAAGATTTTCTTTCATTTTTCTCAGTAATGCTTTGAAAAGTACTGCAACGCGTATACACATAACTACTGCAACGGGTTAAAGGAGCGACCTCCTTCCAGTGTTGAATTTTCATGAATTCTGGAGCAACGAAATCGATTTATCAAACTGTTCAACAATCTTACAGTGTGTAAAATCTTTGAACACTTTGGGAAAGAATTCCTAATTAATTTCACGGAATTATTATAAGTACACAGAACTGTCAAAGATTCCGTCATTTTCTCACTTTTTCTGATTCTGTAAAACTGCAAAATATTTTACGTATTAACAGAAGAAGAAATAGATTTGCAATGGTAAATTGTTATGAAGTTTCAAGGAGAAATTACAGAAACTTTATGATTGAGCAAAAAATTCAATTAATTCAGCAAAAAAATTCTCAATTGCGCCATGTATTTGCTCGGTATTACGTAAATTGTGACTTGGAACATCAAACGTTTAAAGAACAAAATTAAGAAAAGATAATATTTAAATTTTCTTGAGAAACGTTGTAATGTTAAACGAGAAAATTTTTATGAACGAGTTCAGTGCTTGAAAAATGGAAAATTTATGAAGAATAATATAAAAAGTAATGAGAATTACGTTGACTATTCAAATAATAAAAATGAATGAAATTTTATATCATAAGTTTAATATAAACATTGTTCATAATGCATATATTATAAAAATTATTTAATCTTTATTTATATAGCTCACATGGTTATTAAATTTTCAGAGGAAATCATGGGTATTTGCACATTTTACATTTATATAGGTGATTTAAACATTACAAAGAAAAGCAGCATTAAAGAAATATTCCTCAATGCTCTTTAAAAATTTTAATCTTATGTAAAATTTTTTAAAACGTATCTTATGTATTTAACGTACATTAGGAGGATGCACGGTACATGCGTTCTAATTGTATTATTGGTTCATACATATGCACGTCTGATAAAATTAAAATACCTTGCACGTCAAATGTTTGAAATTAGTTAGCTTTCGTTACACATGAGAAATAAGAGTTCTACGTAGAAACATTAATGTTCTTGATTTATTGCACGTAACCATCGCACGATAGATCAAGAAATTACGAAACATAAATTATATAAAACGTGGGTGGATAATAAAAATAAATTAAAAATTTTAGGACAACGAATATTGATGATATAAATGTTACGGAAAATTTGGGTGGGAATTAATTAAAAATAAGTATATAATCGTCACACACTTAAATAGAAGAATTCCATGTAAAGAACATAGTCGAATATTTTTATAAAATTTCCTGACCCAATTGGTATCATAAATGATAAACGAAGAATATTATTTTGCGCAACTCTTAAGATAATTCGTAATAAAATTTGGGTAAGTTCAAATAAGGTAGACCACAAGAAACTTTGCTTCCACAATCTATAGTAGAAACATTTTATCGCCATGGAAAAGTACAAAAACGATAAAACTTTCCAAAAGATAATACTTCGAAAATTAAGATCCTTACCGTCTGGATCTATAATTTTTTGTTTCTGCATATAAGAACTTTCACACTAAATGCAATATTTATTCTAAGAATAACTTTAAATATTTTTCTTGTAACAATTTACCACTTGGAATTTAACCTCAAAGTCAATTTTTCAACACAATTTCCCTATTTTGCATTCGTCAATCAATTTAACACATTATTAATTATCCGTTTGTACTGAAAAAGAAAGAAGAAAGATATAAACATAATATAATTGCTTACTTGACGGTCAATTGTCTCTGTATCAGCAGCTTCTTCTCTATTTGTTCAATGGGAAATTGTGGAACTTCATAGGGGGCAGATATTTCATTGGGCAATTCGTGTGGTGCATGTCTCATGGAGGTTCCACCACCTGCAACTGTTCCACCACCTTCCAAACCAAAAACTGGACTTTCACTTCCTGCAACGAAAAATTAAGCTTCTTTTATTCAAGGAATCTTCGGGTAGCCGTGTTCAATGTATCTTGAACGAAAAGCTACAAATACTTTAGACCTCATTAACGAGGGATTATTCGCTTGAATTCCCTACGCTAATTGCAAATTAAGTTTCACGTGCAACTTATCGCTGTGAACCACCACACAACGCTTTCGTTACAGTAGCAAATTCCTTAACGTAAATAGACAATTACCGTCGTTTTTTGCCTGTCCCGTTTTCTGTAACCATTCCGTAACAGAATTGCGCTTATATCCAGTCAAATAGTCGTTTTCATTACCCAGCACCATCGTGCGGAACGTGTCGTACCTCTAGAAAGATTTCGAAAATTCTAACATCGAAGCGACACGGTTTTCACGTCTTTTCATTCGAACCTGTCGATCGTTTATCCAATAAAATTTCATTCCAACTGATTCGTGTGATAACGGTTATAAATAATCATTCTTATTTCGAGCTTTTTATTCAATTATATCTTAACAAGACGTTAAAAGTGGACGATTAACTGATTTAATCGGATTCAGATTAGAAAAAAATTTAAGTTGTATAATGTGAGATTACAGAATGACTGCTTTAAATCAAACCATTAGCATTATTTTATCTGAGAACTTTTAGAATTTTGACATTTTTCTTTACGTGGTACAGAGAGGGCGCAAGCAGACAAAAATAACCTCTCTTTTTGATGAGCAAAAGACGTTACAAAGTGTTGAAGGTCAACTTTGTTTTCTTATTTGTTTTTAATCCATGGATTTTTCTTTTTAACATACTGGGTTATTTATACTTCAAAACATCATTAGTTTAAGAGATATTTCTACTTGAAGTTTAAAAGAGGTTAGTCGACGGTTTCCACACGTTTTCACATTGTAGAAACTTTATGTTTCTGTATAGTAAGTTTGTAAACAAGCACTCGGTTCTCAAATGATTTCTCAAACACTAGCCATTTTCTAAACTTTAAGTTAAAATATCTCTTAAATAAATAATTTTAAAAAGATCTACCTTAATGTGTAAAACAAGTTCGTAATTTCACTTAAAGAAACAAAGTTGATCTTGAAATTGCTGAAAGCTATGAAAAAGACCAATCTAATCTTTGTTAGATTGTGTCCCCTCACTAAATATCATATATCGTCGAAAATCAATATTCCAAAAGGTTTCTGGAAAATAATGCAAACATTTTGTATTTGTATAAGAAGATTTTATCGTATCTCAAATATCTCAGGTTACTGTAAATTTTTAGCAAAACACCAGTGACGTGACAAACAAAGCATATATTTCACGACTGTTGCGAGATAAAGCATAATTAAAATACGTCTCAGATCACAGCGCCTTGTTGTTGTTCGTATAGCATTATAAATAAGATTAGACAGCTGTCGAACATCTTGTAAGACAGACAAAAGATTCTTACTTTAATTAAAAGCTTTAAATAAAAAGCAGAAAATGCTTCTAAATATAATTTTTACAAAATAAAGACACTAGAAATTACGTACGCTATATTTGCAGTTTCCATGAACCGATGTTTTATAAACGAATAGTATAACCAACGTAACTATATCTACTACATACTTTTGTATCTCGAATAGACATTTATGAATACAGAAAGAAAAAAAAAGATAATACTCGAAATAAAAATAAATGATAATATGTTTAAAAATGTTTGAGGAATCCAAGTTCATTAATCATTCATGTAACAAAAACTTGAAAGCAAAAAAATATTTGCGATCTGTTTCAAGTCGCACGTGAAACGATTGGTTATGTAGGATATTTCGAAAGTAATGAAAATGTCGTAGAGAAACATTTATAAATACAAATTATCATTTTATGTATATCATTATTATAATGAAACTTACAAGAATTTTAAAACCTTGATATGAAACTCCATTTTGTTTAAAAACGAGACTCAATGTATTTGTTTAAGAATAGTCAGAAATAATCAAAACACACATTAAAGTATCTTGTATAATGTGACAGTTATCATATATTTAATAAAAAGTTCTATTGACAAAATTGATAAACGAATAAACTTATCGTGACCAATGACCGTTTAGAATACTCCATGCGCAGTATTAATAAAACACAACGCGCAGAATAGTATAAGATGAAAAAGCAACCGCTGTTTGTACTTGTCAAGTGCAGCGAACTTTTTTGTCACCCGTTGCCAGATGGTATAAGCAAGTAATTGTGGTTGCACATTGCACAGTCATAACAAACTGTCGTCGGCCTCACGCTAACAGAAGTGTGACAACCGAGGACGTTTAATTTTTTTTTTACGCAGCACTCTGTGTTCCGTTCCCCCGTTCTCTATTTTTAATTCAATCCGATTAACCGTAAACCGTTCTGTTTTCGGTCTATAAATAGAGTTTTTCGTGTATTTAAATCGACCAGTTCCAGCTAGCGAGCATCGATGGTTCAAAACCGCCACTTCCAGAAAAAATGTCTGGCCATACGAGTCATCGGCAATTTGATTTGGAGAGTATCCAAAACCTTGGAGTTACACATATCATTATCGAAGATAAATCGTTTTGAGATATTTACACACTTTCCATAGCCGACAATTATAGATAAGACATGACACATTAGACAATTTTTAGTACATGTATCACAGGTAATACCCAAAAATACAAATCTAACAGGAACTATATCATATAATCGTATAATCTTAATCGCAAGAAAATTATACAGTCTCTAAAAAACAATACTGTTCATACTGTAAATAATATCATTGCTTCAATAAGAACATAAACATTCGAACAGGTAAAAGATTTGGATTAACAAATTAAGAAAAGAGGTCAAGAGCACAGCTTTAATATTTAAAGACGACCTATCGTTGTCGACTGACAGTAGGTTTATCATTTCGTGCAAGCTAGAACAGTTTCACACGTGCAAATGAAACTTATTGCACAGACGATCGACATTTCGATGATTTGTTTGAACATTTCACACAAATATATACCACACTTCCGCCGCTTTCAGATGCTGATAACGATTTCGTGGTTAGACTGTCACAGAAAACACAAGTGAAAATATCCGTTTTCTGACTAAAACCAACACTTTTCTACACAACAATACGTGAAAAATGTTAAGAATTAATAATGTGCGAGATAAACGAGATGCGTCTAATTCGTAATTCAGAGGGCACTGACCACGTTAACTGGTCGCGAGTATCGAATACACTGACTGTAGCGTAGAGTTGGCACTTGGTAGTAGACATGTAGAATCTGTACGTACACCCATACATTCACGTGTTCACACGCACATCTCCTACCAACCGTCTTCTGCTTAGTAGCGCCGTTACGCACGGAGATCGTGAAATAGTTTCGAAGAAGCATTAACTATCGTGCACGTTCTTGTAATACAATATACATAGATATATGTACGTGTTTCTTCGTTATAATCAATCTTTGTAAAACCACCAGTTTGTCCATTTGCAATTCCAATAAGTGAATATATGTATGAGCAATTTTCTAACATTTTAATGTGCAAATTGAAAGGAAAAAAGGGGAGGGAAAAAAGGTAAACGTACAATAACATTCTACAGTTTCGAATAGTATAAAATTCATCAATTAGAATCGTTAATAGAAGCGTTAAATTTAATATCTTCTCTATATCTACGTTTCCTTTTCACGATGATCGACATATTGAAATATTCAAGTAATTACGCTAAAATTAATATTTAACAATAATGAAATATGAGTCATTAATGATATCTAAGAATAGCATGCGTAGAAATAACTCTGGCATTTACTACGATTTTCGCGTGCATACGTACTTGCATGCACATGTGCATAGTGCTTATAATTGGCGTGCGTATATACTCTTATTTGACCCACATTCCTCGGAGCTACGCACATGGCATACGCCTACACAAAGTATAGCCGTTTAAAGCAAATATTCTGCATCGAAGTGCACACCGAATCGTGTTAATATTTAATATTAATATCATTATATACAAATTTCAGGAATCAATTTTCATTAAACTTTTTATACCGTAACACTTCAGCAGTTTCTCCCTTAATTACATATTTTTTTTAAATTACAAAACACAACAGAATATAAAAACAATTTCATTTAATTTCTCAAACAATTCAAACAGTACATTTCTTTATTAAATTACTATAAATTTGTTATTTTACACAAAAACTGATTGAAAATTTCTTTTGATGAAATTCCAAAAAATACGTGCTACAATGTAATCAAATTTTCTGTCCTTATCTTCCTAATCGGTGCATTCAATTCATAAAATACAATGTATATAGCTATAGACAAGTTCAATTTATTTGATGAGAAAACGACAAGTAGGCAGCCTCTTCCCCTAACTATTTCCATGAATTCCATTTTCCTTTCAGTACTGCTGATTTATCAAGATTATGCATCAAATTGAACCTTAAAATTTCCTTTCATTTTTAATTCAAAAAAATTGTCTGTCAGAAGTAACCAAGCTTTAGATCTATAAATTGTTAACATCTTACTTCAAAGAGTGCAAGATGTTACTCTGAAGGATCAGATAAGATAATTTCGCGATACGCAGAAAAATTGTTTATTTTAACAGGTGGCTGCAGATGCAGTGAATTGAAAGAAAATTAAGATAAACACGAGATATTTGATTTAAGATAAACCGCAGAAAACGGTGCACCTTATCTGCACCATTTCTCACGTCTCCTCTTGATCAGACCACTCCCTCAAGGATCTTTTTAAATTCGTCGCTCTATAAATACTTCTGATAACTTTTTATTGAAAACTTTGTATTCGTCTTATCGAAATTGCGTATACGATAACTATCGACCACTTCACGCAACAAGTTTCAAGAATCCATTAATCAACTACTCTACCTCAAAAGAAGTTCTTAAGCGTGTAATGATTTATAAGAGTGGCAGGATTAAAATACTACTGTCCGTAACGATTTATACATACTTACTTCTATCGAATCGATTAAAATGATAAAATCTTGAGAAAAATACTCGAGTATAGTTTTCCTGGAACGATCGTTGTTAGAAATTGAAATAAATTTGGCGAGAAATTAGAAACCCATTGACTTTGTCATTTCTGTAATTTTACTGTTACTAATTCTTTAGCATTAAAATTTTACTCAGTCTTCTATCCTTGGAGAAACATTATGCTTTCTGATGAATTGTATATAATTGATCGTGACAAAATTCCACCAGCGATTTTACACTTATCGTAAGAACGTATTTACGTTTAGGATGTAAATATAGAAATATGAATCCTTTCTTTTCAGATTTACAACTTTTGGTGAATCAACTGCTGGCACTCGACCAGACAGAGTCTGCCTTCAAGTGCCAAGAAGCCACTTTTCACGAACGAGATCGATACAGACTCTTGGCACAAGTACGTATGGAATTTGCAAATTTTTGATGAGTCAAAATTTCATCAACTATCCCACTAGTAATCTGTTTTTCATTTTGAACACAACTATACCTGCCAGAAATTTAAATACCACTAAAAGGTCTATAAATAATGAATATTCGCGAATAGAAATACAAACATCCGTGTTTACAATTTCCACTACAATATATGCATGTAATATATATATATATGTACACTAAAAATAAATATATCTTTGAGAATAGAAACCGATTTTGTTTACAAGGCAGTAAGATTTCTACGCTGTAAAATTAACGAAATTTTGGCTATCAGCAGCTAATTAAAAAATCACAAAAATGACAAATTCACTTCATCTTGAAACATACGATATTTAGTATAAAGGGCAGTAATATGAAATTAAATCTTCCATTTTGAATACTTCCTTTTTAATTTACATTATTTTGTAAATTATACTCCTAATATTTATGCAATCGTTGAAGATTTGTTTGCTCCAACAATAGCCAGAGTAGATGACAAATTCCTTCTCACCTTTCTTCTTCGGATACGATTTCTTAATCACGCTGCGAGATGATTCGCACATGATCGTACGAAACACAGGAAATCCTTCGAACACTAATCACTTCCCGTAATTCCACTTTACGCTATCCGCTTTGATTGCGTAAAATTGCACGAAACTAAGTACAACATAGGACGAATTCGAAGGTGTGCGAGAAATTTTTTTGTAAATAATAGTATAATACTGCGTGAACAAATGGAATATTACAAAGGATTGCAAAAAATAACCGTTAATTGTGAAAAAATGGAGTATTAAGTCAAACATTAGGTAAATGTATAGCAAGAAAAACACTATCACTTTCTACGAAACAATTCAATCGGAGATAATACACTTGGTTTGTGTAAACTTTACATTTTAACTGCGCAATTGTGAATCGTCATCGATTCTTACGGAAAACTCTTTCTTGTTCCCAACGCGAAAGAATACTGGTGCACATAAATTGCACGCATTCACCACCACATGCATACAAGATAATATGTGCAAACGTGTATATAAGCCACTGATAACGTATCACATTTGGTGGTAAAAAGTGTCGAAGCAGTAGCCGATATGATCTTTCTTCTAAAATCACTTATGCGATCTACTGATAATTTCAATTGTTGGTTAACTCGAGAGTAAGAAGAGAAATTATCGTCTGTGTATTTCTTATTCGATGATCCTTGTACTGTGTTAAATGAAAAGAAGATTAAAAGTAAAATACGAAAATTATATTTTGGTGATACTGAGTAAATATTTGTGTTGGAAACATTATACCTGGTGAATAATTGACTGTACTGTATCGAATTTCAATTAACTTTAAATAAGTATGTTGTTTGTTAATGGAATAATAAGATACTAATGTGATCGATGAAAATGAGAAATTATTGAAAATATAAGTGAAATTAAACAAGTAATTTAGAACGTCCTGTTAATATTTTTCTTCAACGACTATGTAACAAACGATGTTAACACCTATTTTTAATGTGTACTAACGTTCAAATATCTTCTAGGTACGTTTATTTTTGTAACCGCCACAGTCAGCGATAGAATTATTTCTTTATCAATTTCAAAAAATCTAATATTTATTTTAATATTTTCATGAAATATTGTGCATCATTTCATTAAATTCATCTAACGGGGGAAAAGTGCAGTAAGTATGAAAATATGACTACAGTAAAAAAATATGAAATAGAAACATGAACAACTAAGTTATTGTAGAGAGGAAATATAAGCAAAAATTTGAAAAATGCTACTTTTACATTTTATTTGTGTTTCTGTCAATTCTATAAATTATCCTTTGTATATTTTCTAAATATAAATATAATATTTACTACATCACAATTTCCACAAAAAATTTATTAATATTTCAAGAAAAAAACGAACAAACTGTTGAACATTTATGAATATTTATAAATCGGTGTGTTCACCTTACCTAAATAAGTTGAATAACTCTCAAATAATAAAAAACAATGTTTACCTTCATCCTCGGAATCTATAAGGAAGTTTGGTAGTAGCCTTAAGCCCATATAATAGTCGTTTTCTCTCGTAGTGACACCTCTACTGGACATAATTCTTTTAAAAAACAACCACCAACCACTTTAAATTACACTCACGAAACAGGTTTCGAATAATTCAAATCGTTCTTGATTATCCACGTTTCCAGGAAACGTTTTTTCTTTTCTGAAGAAAAAAAAAAGAAAGAAACCAAGCTTCTCCGTTCGAATCAGTACACTAATTTTTTACGTTTCCTTCACGACGATAAATTCGTGGCTTTTGCTTTTCCGCTGTAGTTAACAACTGAATTTTATGCTCCGACGTCGACTTAACTATAGGTGGGCTATTCGATGCTATGACACACGTGCTAATTGTTTTGCTTAATGCGCGTTCAAATATTATTTGGTACAAACACTATCCATTAATTGTATCAAGAAATCCACGAGATTACACGAAAATTCTACAATTTCATAGACGTTAAGTATATAATTGCGTATACGCCTGTTTGACAGCGCGGTGACTTTAGACTGTAGATTGAACACAACAAGTCGTAACCGTATTATGTAGCAACTATACCCAAAGCACTAATACCAATGCGAAATGGCTTATTAGAAGAAGCGGTTGATTCGTGTATTGACCTGCCGCGACGTGGAAAAACACCAGTAAAGGTGACCGTCGTTCTCTTGATGGTCAAACGGAATATACTGTCGCAAAACGAGTGCTAGTTGTCTTGTTTCTATTCGCGTACCAAAACTCTCGAGCAGTTTAGCATACTGTGAGCGAA